CCTGCTGAAATCCCAGTTCAAAAACCTAAGAATGGGGCGTTAAACTCACTAGATTGATAAGGGAAGAAGGGAAAACATACCAAAGAGCTGTCTTTCCAGATTCTCCTCCATGGTATCATTGTTGCAGACAAAGATGTAACCTCCAATTGCCTCGCTCCTTGGTAGCGCCTCGGATGCCGGCAATGTCTTGAATCGCTTATCTAACGCTCCTCCATTACCATTGCTATTGCTATTGCTATCCCTACTATTATTACTGTTCTTATAGACTCCATTATTACCATTCCCATTCTTTTTCTTCCCACCAAAACCATTGCTGCTGCTGTTCTTCTTACCCTGCGCGGGCTTCCCAAACGACTTATCCAAGTAAAAATTCTTCATCACTCCATTTCCGTTGTTGAATCGGAAGCTCTTGTTCGAGAAACCGCGATCCTTGATCCCGTCAACGGAGCTGTATTCTTCGTCGTTGTTTTTGATCCGATTAAGGCTGGGGCTCGCGAACGCGAGCTTTCGGGCTCCGAGTCCGCCGGGGGTGAACTCCGACGCGGCAGCGGAGAGGAAGTTCCGGCGATCATCGAGGGTCTTTCCGGTGTCGGGGAGGAAGTGATCGCTCCAGATACTGTCTCCGATGGAAAGGCTGGAAAAGGATGCGGTCTCGAGCCGAAGCCGTTCGCTGAAATGCCTGAAAGAAGACTGCTCCTCCTGAGAATTCAACTCCATTCCTTCTGTTCGCTCTGATGCTGGATGAAGCAGGTGGGAGAGAGGGAGAGCTTTATAGAACGGGTTGGAGATGCAGAATTTCGAGGAAGGAGAAGGAGAGAGAGAGAGAGTGGACGCGGTTTCATTCAAGAGCGCGCGCAGGCCATACTTTCTGACGAAGTAAAGGGGTTAAGGGACTTACCAGCAGGCGAATTAGGAAGATAACCGGTGAGTGGGGCCCATCGCCTTCCAGAAGGTTGGTGGGTTATTGGTTAACGGAAGAGGCTAATTATTAAATTAAAAAAAATTAATTTTTAATATTAAGAATGAAATAAAAGAAAGTGCAAAATTGACAACTCACAGTTTGTTGTGATGATACGTGGGAACACGTGACCGCCTCAGTGCCAACACGTGACAGTGCTGAGAGCTGCCACGTTGCGGCGGTTAGAAGCGGTAGAGTTTGAAGATTTTCTAATTCTATTTTTTTTAATAAAAAGTTTTATTCTTTAACTAGAATTTTTTATTTTAGGTTTTTTTAAAATGATGTTTAATTAAAAATAGTATCATTAATTTTGTTTTGATTAAATAACAACGTGTAATATTGTGTTGATAAAATATACGATTCTAATTTTTATAAATTCATGATAAATGTGAGGTGGTGTTGCTCGAATAGAAATAAATTTATATGAAGATTTTCGTCATAATTATCGCCTACTGCTCTCTAGGCAGGATAGAAATAAATTTATATGAAGATTTTCGTCATAATATTTTGCTTGTATGATATTGTCGCCTACTGCTCTCTAGGCAGACTGACTAAGCTCAATTTGATTAGTCATGATCGGTTGAGATTTGCTCGACTAGATAGGATTAGCTCGATCGGCTGAGTTTGGTCGTATGAGTCGGTGGGGTAATATGGCTCGGCTATTAGTCATTTACCGTTGATGAGGGGCCATTGGATGTCTCTGGGGTGGTTAGAGAAGCTAACGAACCAGCTCTTTCCATGGATTGACTTGTTCTTATGTCATATGATTGCATTTCGTCTATCTCACGATTCGATCTGCTTTGACCTTACTATCTTTGGGTTGGTTCATGAGTGTAAAAGAGCCAAGTTTAAGCGAGCCAAAGGTTTGTTTGTGTTTGACTCGTTCAATTTTTTTTTTGTTTTGTGTTCGGAATAGCTTATTAAAAGCCTCTTTGTGTTCAACTCGATTCAAACTTATTTTTTTGAATTAAACTCGTGTTCATTTGAATTAAGCTCGTGTTCGGCTCGAAATAATAATTTATTAAAATTAAATGAATCAAATAATATAAATAAATAAATTTTCTTTTAAATTTATTTTAAAGCTCTCTTAAGAGAGAATAAAATTAAAATAAATTTACACATGATGTGTTGGTAGCTACAGATTGAGAAGGTAGATGCTGTTAAGGAAGGTGGAGTCCGGTCCACTGCTCTGTTTGAGCAGCATTTAAATATATTTCAATACATTCCATTTCTTAATTTCACAAATTAAGGAAAGGAGCTTAATTCCATCTTTTGTTATTTATGTTTCCCAAAATTGATCTCCCACCTGCTTCTGGCTTCCCTGTGATTGGCGAAATAAAGGAGCTTACCTTTCTTGGGCTAAAGACGTTGCTGATTAGAGCAAGGGATATTCACATTAATGGGCTTGCTAATGGGCTTGCCTTTAATGGGTCAAAAATGATTCTATACATGATCTCTTGTGTGCTCTATAAGAAGAAGGCTTCAAAGGGAATCATGTGTGGCTTATTGGCGTGAAGCTCAAAGGAAGGTAGCTGCTCGCTTCTTGTTCTTTTAATTCTTCTCGTTGGTGGCTCTCGGGTAGAGAGAGGAGAGAGGAGTGAGAATCTTTCTTATATTTGTCGAGGTGATCGACAAGTGTAATTCATCAGGCTAATAAAATCATCTACAGCTTCATTGACGTACGCAATTTGTTTAACCACGTAAATCTGTGTGTTTCGTTGTTTTTAGTATTGCGATTTTTTCTTGATTTGATTTTTTGTTTTATTGTTGTTGTTTCTCACAACAACTGGTATTAGAACTATGGTTCGGATCTAAGGAAGAACAATTGACGGAGACGAAGTGATAACATTG